GCTGGTAAACATGGTGTTCAAAAATCGAGGGGAGGCAGCAGCCCAGTATCGCCTCTATGAGGCTCCGCCACTGCCCTCAACGCCGGTCTGCACCTCGGCATTGGCAGTGTCTCATCCATCACAGCATACTCCGACGCCGATTGGGCTAGATGTCCAGACTCTCGGCGCTCTACATCAGGCTACTGCATCTTCCTCGGGGACAACTTGGTTTCCTGGTCTTCAAAATGGCAGACCACGATGTCTCGGTCTAGTGCGGAGGCAGAGTACCGAGCTGTTGCCCACGCAGTTGCCGATTGTTGCTGGCTGCGCCAGTTGCTTGAGGAGCTTCATATCTCGATCCCTTCGGCAACCATTGTCTATTGCGACAATGTCAGTGCACTCTATGTGACTGCCAATCCGATTCATCATCGTCGCACAAAGCATACTGAGATTGACATTCGCTTTGTTCGTGAGAAGGTGGCTTTGGGGGAGTTCAGACTTCAGAGTGCTCCATGCTCCTGAGCTCATCAGTTCGCGGACATTAGAGGGACCGCCTGTACAGTTGTTCAATGACTTTAGGTCTAGTCTCTGTGTCCAGTTTCCTCCCGCTATGACTGCGGACGGGTATTAGAGATATGCATAGTCTAACACATGTATATCATGTTACTTGTATTCCAAATTGTACTTGACTATACATATGAAAGCGCCCCCCCCCCCCAAAAAAAAAAAGGGTGTGAGGTGTTTCCTAATTCTCTACATACTATATGACACTAACTTTATTTTTGGTGCCCAATTCGACACTGCCATTAGTTTTTGCTTCTAACACTGTTAACAGCCAGGAAATTACCATTTTGCCCTTGATGTGGTTGTGCAGCACCTTGTGATTTCACAGCGGCAGATCATGAGCTTTCGCAGCAGCAGGTTACGGTAGATTTGTTGTGTTCTATATTTTTTTAGATGATTTTTTGGGGCAGCACCGTTTTTGTAATCAATTAATTTTGTGATGTCTTCGAATAAAGTGGTTCCAAAGTACACGACACTACCCACTAATTTTCGTCCTTGTTACCTGTAGTCTAGGAGACGATTTTCTCATCTGCCGCCTGCATAATTGACCATGGAACGGAACTGTTCAATGGCACGCCACGCCACGCCATATATCAATTAACTCTCACATCCTTGCATTTGTGTGTGCCTTATTAGCAAAATGTGTTGGACAATTAAACAACACACACATACCAGCATGTACAGGCTTTAATTTATTTCCCAGAGTACTCGCATAGTTGCTTCGCAGCACGCTTCCTTCCTGATTATCAGTTTCGCCAAGAAATCCCTGTCCGAGCCGCTCTACTCGCCGCCGGCCATGGGGCGCAGCTCGCCATGGGCACAGCCAGCCATGGGGCTCCCCCCGCCCTGGCCGCCCATGCCACAAGGGCTGCCGCCGCCGAAGCCCCTCCGATGTCCCGCCAGCTGCCTTCAAGCACTAGATCTGGTCTAGGGTTTGGTGAGCTTGAGAGACATGGAAGGGGATGAGATAGAGAACGAGGGAGAAGTCAAACGAGTGTTTCCTCAGGAAACCGAACTGGGATATGTTCCATCCATGTTTTGGGGCAAGGGCATTTTCGTCCTTCTGTGATTAATCTAAAGCAAGAACTACAGAAGTGAACAGAGTGTCAAATTGGGCACCAAAAATAAACTCTGTGTCATTTAGGAAATATTTTCTTTCAGTGTTAAATAAGGAATTTTCTCATATAACTATGGGGGTTTGAAAACCATGAAAACTTTTTTTATGCATTATTTCATATGTGTATCAGCAATGCTCCAGAAAACTGCACAGCAAACGCTAACTTAACTATTTGATGTACAAACAGCAATAGACATACCAGTTGCATCAATGCCTCCCTCCTTCCATGCATCCCCGCTCATGTAGTACACATGACTAGTAATAAGAGCAAAAGATGTAAGGCCTTAGAATATTTTAAATTAATTATTATTATGCAATATGGTCAATACTGACCATCGAAAAAAAAAGTATGGTCAACACTTTTGTTTCAAACACTATCTATATTAGAATAGAGTCCCAACATTCTATATCATGGTCAAGATTACTTAGTAAGATCTAAGCTTTAAACCAAATGTGCCCAAACAAGAAGCCCTTTTGAACTCAAGGTCACACTTTTTTATATCTCCAACAACAGCTGAATGATTTGCTTCGCTTTTCAAAACTTCGCATGACACATGGAATTTAAGGCACAGTAGCAAACACAATATGGGAAAAAGCTTAGACTAATCAATATTATACAATATTACTATGTACTACACCCATGCAAGTAAAACATGTCAATGCAAAGGTTGGACAACAAAAAGAATATATTCATACCCATGCTCTCAATTCTAGAGACAGATACTCGGATGGGTTGACCTAATTCCTATACAGAGATCAAAAAGAGGACAGCTACATCATTTCAGGGAAAGCATAAAAGTGTTCAATTGGCATATGAAAGGTCCCAATTTCAGTTACAGATAATCACTATATGGTCCCAGTTTGACACAAGTTAAGCCATTAGAGCTGTTGTTGCCATATAAACAGGAATTGTGTCTTATTTACGTAAAGGTTAATGTGGCTAGAATGCATGAGGTATGCGGACCTGCCAAATTGCCTTGCCATTGTTTTGGAGCGTACTAGGATAATACAAAACTTATTGCAAAAGTTGGCCCACTAATAGACTACCATAGTATTCAGCACCATGTGGAAAAATAATTGAACCAGTATAACATCACCCAAAGAAAAAGAAGTCTGTATTAGATGCAACCTATTATTACATATGTTGAAACCTTCGATATTACCATAAAAAGGAACTAAAAATGCCTGATTTCTCAGAATGGTCTGTCAGCAGTTTTGATCTGATTTTATACCCTCTCCTGGTTTACATTTCTAACCAGATATCAGCCTAAATATCAAATTGATGATCCAAGTTAATCTAATATGTTGGTGTACAGCAATTTTCACAAGAGGTTACATTAGAGGACAAGGGAGTGCCAATTGATGAGAATGGAACTAGGATTCACCTGTGGTCACATACTCTGGCTTCATTGGATGTAGGTGGTGAAGAGCCTACAGTATACTACAGGTGGGTTTGGATTAATCAGGTTACAAAAAGTAATTCATTCAATGTATAAAACAGCAACAGTATAATTCTAAGATTGTTTTTAGTTATGAAAAAGTTTGTGTTGAATTAATGTGTCCAATCCTAATAAACAGAACATGAGAACAGAATAATTTGGCAGCGTCTTTGGATTATATGCAGATAAAAAAATGAAAATCTCATTAAAGCAGACCAAAAAAAAGACCACTCTTTTTTCTGGATATTTGGATGATAATCTAAAATTTTGAATTACTTCAAACTGAAATATGGCTAGCGTAGGGTAGCGGTTCTCTCACGCTGATGCATCATGCTCCTTCATTTTTCATGGCACCTTCACCTTTTTGCAATGTTGCATTTTCTTGCAGCTACCATGCACAATCTCATCTTACACACACACACACACAATAAGTTAAAGTAATATCACCTCAGTGCCTATCAAGGTTGCTTGCGTGTTCACAATATTTCTAGCTATTACACCCAAATAGGCACTACAGCATTGAACCATTCAAATACACAGTGTGCTTGCTTATTCATTGGAGTGGGGTGTATTTGAGAATAAAGGAAACCCTCAGAAGATGTAGCTTTACAATTTGATGAGAGCTTTACTCTTTAGTCTATTTCCCATGGTTAGCCAAACAAAGTTCGTAGAAACTCAACTACTCATTGCAATGAATCATAAATACAGGTATTACTATTTACTTACCATACAAACCAAAATCAACCTCACACACAGAACAAAACACTGGACCTGGTGACTTAAGGTTTGAACAAATAGTTAAAAAAAGTGTAGCTGATAAGGTCCCACTTTACTTCCAGTCATCCACGCACACGTTCCATTGAGTAAACCGAAGAATACAGAGGCATATACATGACCTAATGCCCAGGGCATAACTCACAACAACTGATAGATTAGAGCGACGCAGACCCAAATGACAACTAACCAAGACTTGCTGCAAAGGAAACCATACAAGTGAGACATGAAAAGACAATTGTTTGGTTGGATAGCTCAAGAACTGCCAGCGGTCATATACAGCGTAAATCACACACAACTGTAAAAGAAAAAGAGAGAAGATATGAATAAAGGAGCTCCACAATTTTCTGGTAGGAGTAGGACACTACAACTCAAAGTCTCGAAACAGTCACCTTAATGTTAAAATCAATACAGTACCACCAGCGATACATAGGGCTCTACAATCCACAGTAGAGGACCTAGAATTCTAATATTTGGCTGTGTATAAAACAAAACAACAGATGACGGGTTACAGGTCAAATCTTAACAGGTTTGGATGCTACGAATAAGCAATCGAATTTCGAACGTAAGATGCAATCCATGCAGCAGTTATGAACTCCAAGTGTAGGCCACTGCCAAAAATCTTTCAACTCAGGGTCTAGGAGGATAGGATTGAATTGGAACATGCAATCCATACATTATGAACTTCTATTCTAAGCCACTGCCACATTTTGTGGTTAACTAGACCACAAGGGAAAATGACTAAACTATTTGAACCTATTCACTGGGAACAATAAGAGTTCCCCTATCGAAAAGTTTGCAGGCATAGAGGCGAATTGGTGTGGAGTTAATGCAAGGCCACAGTTTGCCCCCTTCAGAATCTTACTTCGAGCAGGACCACAAGACCCCAGAACAAAGGCCAAAAACGCTCAATCAATTCGAGCACCACTGCTGGCGCCACCACGCGCCCGTGCTTCGTCCACAGTTACTAAGTTCTCATCCGAATAAACTGCAGTCAGTGTAATTTTCGTGTTCGGTTCTACTCAGATTTCAACATACAAGTATGGGTCAACTGTTCTTAATCGCCAGAAACTAGGGCCTGGTATTAGCCCGCTAGAGATTGTAGACAGAGGATGGAAGGGAGAGTTTCACCATGCGATGAGGAAGCCGAAGGCGCCGAGGAAAGTGATGAGCCCGGCGTGGCGACGGAAAAGAAGCATGGCGAGGTAACCGAGCGTCATGGGCACGACGAAGAGGAGGTTGGACGCGGCCCCGAAGGAGACGTAGGAGAGCGCGGCACCCGTGAGCCCCGCGTAGAGGTGGCGCCCCGTGGCGCCGGGCACCGCGCGCCACAGGAGGCTCGTCGGGATGGTGGCCGCGAAGCAGAGCAGGAACCGGAGCACGGGCACCGATACGCCGATCGACGCCGCCATCGCCTCCATCTCCAGCCCCATCGCCGCCGCCGCCGCCGGGGGTCGAGCCGTCGAGGCGGCCAGATGCGTGCGCGCGATAGAATACAGAGGAGGATTTGGTCCGCTTGCTCGCGGTCGGATGCAGCTCCGATTCCGAGCGGCGTGTGTGTTATGGATGCGGTGCGGCAGCGGCAGACATGTTGGGGACAGTTTTGTAGAAAACCCCATTCTATTTTCGGTTAATCAAATTTTGTAAAAATAGGGAAATCGACTCAAGTTTGCCCTTGATGAATCCTTGACTTAAAAGCTGGTCCAACCAGGAGTCCTGGAGGCAATCTTGTCCTTTTCGCTGGTTACAAGTGAATTTCCGCGTATCCCAAGTCCCAAGCATTGCTTCATACGTTTGCTAAATGACTCTCTCGTGAAAAAATTGAAGGGGAACCTCATGGTATATATGCATGGGTTTATTCTAACTTATTGTTTTACGCTAGCACTAAAAAGAATATTCTGCTTGAATTACGCTGAGCTAGCGAAAAAAAAACAATAATGGTGCACAATACTAGCGAATAGCTTTTGTCTGCAGGGAAAATAAATGGTCAAAATAGCCCATTACTTTTGAATTTTGAATTTATCCCGGTGTGTCCACACCACCTGTACAGCTCTACACCCATGAAATTTGAATTTAGCAAGTCAAAAAAAAAATTGAATTTACCATGCACGGCCTTTCTTTTGACGGGGGTGGAATGAGTGCCTTCGTTACGTACAGAAGTACGGTGGGCTCTTTTCCGACGGCTCTAGTGTTTTTCGACATATTCTTTCCAAAAAAATAGAAAAAAAAGATTTTTGATGTGTTGGTTTTACCACCGTGCTCGAGTGACATTTGATCTGTGGAGTAGTGGAGTTGCATAATAGGTACCCCTCCATTTTAAATTATAAGTCATTGTAATTTCTTGGAGAGTCAAATTAAAACATTTTAAGTTTAACCAATATTATATAGAAAATTATAAAAAAATTATGATATCAAATAGATATATTATGAAAATATAATTTATGAAGAATCTAATAATATATATTTGATATCATAAATGTTATTATTTTATTATATAAATTTGGTCAAACTTAATATACTTTGACTTTAAAAAAATTGAAATAGCTTATAATTTGGGATAGAGGGAGTAATACGTGATCATCAGTCTAGAGGGAGTAATACGCGATCATCAGTCTAACTTGTATAGCAAGATTACTAGCAGCTATGTCATGATATCTTGACGGAGTTAAGTTGCACGATTCCACGATCCTAGACTTTATACCTTATTCGAAATCTAGTTGTCAATCTTAGCATGTACAGTATATGTTGAGTGCGTAGACCGTAGAGAATATAATGATGCCTAGCCATCATCAGCAATAAAGGATACCCCGGCGTAAAGAAAAAGACCTCCGGCGGAGAATAGCAAACTTATTAATTATATATATGTCACGTAGGATATAGATACAACTTAGAAACAATATCCAAGATTAGAAAAGTGTGCACAATCCTTACGCCCATTGTCATAGATAAAAACATATATACAATACTACCTTCGTCTCTAAATGAATCAATTCATAGAGTTGTTTTAAAACGAACTTTTTAAAGTATGACTGAATTTTATATAAAAAAAGTATCAAGATTTATGAAATCAAATTGGTATCATCAGATACACCATAAAAATATATGTTTACAATATATTTATTTAGTGCTATAAATATTTGTACTCTCTTCTATAAATTACGTTAAATATGAAAAAAGCTTGACTTAAGACAATTCTAAAAATTAATTTATTCATGGATTGAGGGAATAGTTAATCATAGATGCTCCTAAGAAATTAAACAACACCAACCACCGATATAGCTTCAATTTACGTCGACGTTTGTCTTAAGTGCACCATCAGTGTAGATCTAGAATTTATACTGGCACTGGCCTTAATGTCAATAATTTGATGCCACATGTTGTATCTCCTACACATATAACGGTAGATTGCATCCATAGGCGGATCCATACATAGGAAACAAAAGATTTGCGTGTATGTGAGATAATGCATTGGTAGTGCATTTTCCAATTGAATGGAAGCTGACTCCATAGATGGGAGCTGTAACTTTATGAACTCAATCCCCCCTCCCCACCCTACAAAAACCTAGTACCAACCAAGAAACCTCCAAGAATGGAAGCTACACCTTTATGAATTCACCTCCACAAAAACCCAGCACCAACCAAGAAGCCCACATTGGAGAGGCTCTAACGACCTTTATGGTTTGTCTTAACTAATGTACGCCGCCGCCGGGGGTCGAGCCGTCGAGGCGGCCAGATGTGTGTGCGCGATAGAATGTAGAGGAGGATTTGGTCCGCTTGCTTTGCATGGTCGGATGCAAAGCTCGATTTCAAGGCGGCACTGTGTGTTATGGATGCGGTCAATGCAATGGCGAACATGTTGGGGACATTTTTTGTAGAAAACCCCATTCTATTTTCGTAATAGGTACCCTCCATTTTAAATTATAAGTTATTGATTAATCAAATTTGCAAAAAAGGGAAACCCACTCAAGTTTGCCCTTGATGAATCCTTGACTTAAAAGCTGGTCCAACCAGGACTCCCGGAGGCAATCTTGTCCTTTTCAGCTGGTTACAAGTGAATTTCGCGTATCCCAAGTCCCAAGCATTGCTTCATCGTTTGCTAAATGACCCTCTCTGAAAAAAATTGAAGGGGAACCTCATGGTATATATGCATGGGTTTATTCTAACTTATTGTTTTACGCTAGCACTAAAAAGAATATTCTGCTTGAATTACGCTGTGCTAGCGAAAACAACAATAATGGTGCACAATACTAGCGAATAGCTTTTGTCTGCAGGGAAAATAAATGGTCAAAATAGCCCATTACTTTTGAATTTTGAATTTATCCCAGTGTGTCCACACCACCTGTACAGCTCTACACCCATGAAATTTGAATTTAGCAAGTCACAAAAAAAAGAAATTTGAATTTACCATGCACGGCCTTTCTTTTGACGGGGTGGAATGAGTGCCTTCATTACGTACAGAAGTACGGTGGGCTCTTTTCGGACGGCTCTAGTGTTTTTTGACATATTCTTTTAAAAAAAATAGAAAAAAAAAGATTTTTGATGTGTTGGTTTTACCACCGTGCTCGAGTGACATTTGATCCGTGGAGCAGTGGAGTTGCGTAATAGGTACCTCTCTATTTTAAATTATAAGTCATTGTAATTTTTTGGAGAGTCAAATTAAAACATTTTAAATTTAACCAATATTACATAGAAAATTATAAAAATTTTATGATATCAAATAGATATACTATGAAAATATAATTAATGAAAAATCTAATAATATATATTTGATATTATAAATGTAATTATTTTATTATATAAATTTGGTCAAACTTAATATACTTTGACTTTAAAAAAAATTGAAATGGCTTATAATTTAGGATAGAGGGAGTAATACGTGATCATCAGTCTAACTTGTATAGCAAGATTACTAGCAGCTATGTCATGATATCTTGATGGAGTTAAGTTGCACGATTCCACGCTCCTAGACTTCTAGATTCGAAATCTAGTTGTCGATCTTAGCATGTACAGTATATGTTGAGTGCGTAGACCGTAGAGAATATAATGATGCCTAGCCATCATCAGCAATAAAGGATACCCCGGCGCAAAGAAAAAGACCTCCGGCGGAGAATAGCGTACTTATTAATTATATATATGTCACGTAGTATATAGATACAACTTAGGCACAATATCCAAGATTAGAAAAGTTTGCACAATCCTTATGCCCATTGTCATAGATAAAAAAGTAAAATGGACCATTGGTCTATCAACTTTCAAAGTGTATTTTTGGGTTCATAAACTTTTCATACAGTGCACTGCAGGTCTATACCGATTCAAGAGCTCGGTAAATTTTCATTTAACCCCTCCCATTGATACTCTCTATATATAGAAAAAAATTTAGAATGCCCCAGCAGCAAGAGTCTGGTCAATGGGCTGGCAGGCTCCAGCGTTAGGCCACCCACGCCATCGCCCGCATACTGATGATGCGAGATGTATAAGTGCTAATGCGGCATCGGAGAGATGACATGTAATGATCATGATGCATGAAATGTAGATGACCGCACGCCGCCATTGAACATAGTAGTACGCAGGCTGCAGGCGACATCATCCGGCAACCATGTTACCGTTGGTCGAGCTTCAAAGATGACGGTATTAACTAAACATGCATTAAAGAAGATTATTTTATTTCATTTTAAACTAGGGCTACACAGCAACATATATTTCTAGTGCTCATAAAGTGAGAGCATGCCACGCCACCGCCATAAAATTTGCAAGGATAAGTAAAATAGCCTACACAAAATGAAGATAATTAAGCATGGCTTTGTACTATGAAAATCTGCGTCATCGTTTACACAATAAACAATCACTGCACAAAAATTATCATACATGTTTTATACAATTTTGCTCTCTATCAAAATAACAAAAAATCATCAATTAAAGGTTGGGCTAGCATAATATTTCTCTACAGAACAAGCGCAGCCTACAAAGTACATCACTAAAGGAGATTAACAAAACTAGAACCACATTTTTCTGATATATATTCTATTTACTAGACATTTTCTAAGAAATAAGTATTTATTCAATTTAAATAAAGCTAGCAATATTTTTTAGCGAGATAGATCTAGTCACAAGAAACCTAGGGTGAGTGCACGCACCTTTGCCGCTGGCTAGACCGGTAGGCGGTAGCCTAAAGGTCGCTCACAAAAGGTCGATGTGAACTCGAGTGCTTTCGCTTCAAGAGACGAGATACTGAGAAGGTCAAGGCTTGGCTGCGCCCGTGGCTCAACGTCGGGCCGGCAGTTAGAGTTGGTGACGCGTGCGCTCTCCTAGCCTAGGCCAGGGGCAGCATTCTTTCCCCCGATTCGTGCACCTTCCACTTCCCTTGCCGAGCTTGCGTTTTCGCCGCCAAGAGGCGAAGTCGATACTGCCAACTGTTGCTGGTTGGTGCGGGCTT